GACTGTTTCACACAACTCATTCGGTATGACTTTTGACCACAGTCAGTTTGAGAAAAAAAGCATCACGAGAGATTTTTTTGGACAGGAGGTCTGTAATACTGAGAGAATGTCTGTGAAGTAATTTCAAATAACTGACCCATTAAAATTGGGAATAAAAGATATTGTCTTTCAAATGACTGTTTTGCTGACTAATCTCAACAAATAAACAGTCGTTTGGCTTTTATCATCAAGTGACACAAGTGACCTTTCAAAAGAACTGTTGACAGTGAATAAAACTGTCTCTGTCTTCATTCTCCTTATCAAACTAACTAGACAGACATACCATTATACATACGCATACATGTACACTTATGCAGTGTAAAACTATCAGATAATCTATGTTGCCTATGTCTAAAACAGTAATCGCCAGTAACAAAGAGTAAACCCTTAAAATGCTTCATAGTTCGCCATTTATTTCCCAAAATTTCTTAATAAGGGGACAGAAGAGAGATATATCCAGTAACCGCTTCTTTTACTTATTAGGAAATTCTAGGTTTTGTAGGAAAATAGTACGCTACAATGTTTTTTTTAAATGTACAAACTTGATGCATATTTAAGCGGTGATTTATGCGTACTGTATATTTCAGGCTAATGATGAAAGCCTTCTGTTTTAGAATAGCCACCTATTGTACTTCATAACAGATACAATTTTTCCATTTGTGTGTGCACACAAAATATTGGCGCCACAACTAGGGTTTGAAGATTTTTAAGGTTAACATGTATATGTAACATAGTAAGTGTAACTAGTTGGCGCCACTTAACATGTCAGCAACATACTATACTTCCTGCTATGCGCTTGAACATGAGGTTATATGTTTGGCTAGTTAAAAATGGGGTGAGGGTGGTGTTTTATTTTTTCATTTTGGTATTTAGGAGTATCACAGGTATTATTATCGTTATCTGCATACTAATCATAATCATGAAGATAAACTAACTTTCCTGTTTTTGGGGGATTTGAATTTTGCAACCGCTTACTTTTCAGGTTTATCTAAACCCACCCTATCAACCTACACATTCACACTCATTGAGATGATCTAGAAGTAGCTTATTTTGAAGAAAAGGTTTTTTTATGACCAAGGATTATGGTCAGCTGTCATATCACTCCGCCAATGTCCTAAAATTTGAAGCTGATTAGCAGGCTCGTACTACAGTAAATGTCATGAAAGACATACTAAACTATTATGCATGAAAAAACACCATTATTATTTTGTTTTCATGTTCGAAATATGTGAGACATTTGCTTTAAAATGGTGTCTTGTTAATCTTATATAACTTTTAGTCTCCACTGATTATGACAGAAAAAGTATCCTCGGTGTATGAGGTTGTATTTTCAATGAAAACGGAGTATCCACCGTATCAGTGCACACTGAAAGTGTACTGCACATTTTTCACATCTACTCACTGAATTTTAAAAATAACTTTCCGGGTTGCTTGAATTGTAAATTTAGTTGTCTTCAGTGTTCTTTTCAAATCACTCACATGTTCATTGCCATCACGAAAGTAGATAATCCTTTTGAAATTTCATATGCCATAATTTATCCTCGAGGTAATTTACTCTAGTATTCACAGTTTATAATTTAGTCATGTGATAGATTTGATTTCAGTGACAGAAGTGGTTGTAACTTTTTTAAATCACTTTTTCCCTCTGTAATTAAATACGGCGTAATTTGATTAGCAGTGTTTACGGTTACTGAAAATGCTTGTTGCATAACTTTGTGTGCTCATGTACTCGGCCTTTCAATAACGTTAGTTTAAGAATTCTATGTCGCGAAAATCTCAATTTCTGCCAAAAACCCCAGTTAAATGTCTCAATTTTGTTTTACTTAGGTGTATTCAAAATTTTCATCACTAGTTTATTAGGTGCATTTTAAGATAAAAGCCATTCTGAATGCTTTTTTGCTAATTATAGTGTAGGTACAAAAAACTCCCAATAAAATGAGCTGTAATTTAGTTCGTTCAGTAATATTCCTCTTTAGCGTTAGGCGGATTTAAGGTGAATTCAGTTATTTAATTGTTATATTGAAGTAGTTTTTTTTTACATAGGAGTCTCAATGTAGCTTTAGTAAAAAAACATTCAGCTTAAATTTTCATCACTTATAATACTAGAGAAGTTGAAACTTTAGTGGGAAATCAATTTTTAGTTTAACCAGCATCTATAGGTCTCGTCCACAGTTAGTAATTTCAAAACCAGTATGCATTAGACTTCCTGCAAGCAGTGAATGAAAAAATGTGACGTTTTTAGTAAAGGAGGGGACTACTATTGATCGCAGCGTATATTTGAGTAAAATGAAAAATCCCTGTTTTAAATATCTAGTTAATCTTAATCGTGAAGTTAAACTATACAACTTTCTAATATCGGAAAGGAGAGATTACTAGTAGAACTTATGCAGAAATCCCATTGCTTAAGGTGTTGACAAATTCATTGCGCACTTACACTAAAGATAACTTGTTTTCTGGATTAAACCAAGCATAAAACTGGGAAATTTAGACATGTCGCGTTACCTGATACAACTCACAGTAAGATTCCTCAGAATTTTATAAGCCGTTCTGAACATTGATCAGGTTCATATTGAGGAAATTCAGACATTATCTAGGCAATGAGAATAAGGCCTTTTTCATTAGAGTATGTGTTGCTTTGGACGCATGGTGCACTAGTAGTTTTCAAAGTCCCTGATAAGTTTACCCTTATTCTTTGATTAAATTTTTTTTAGCGAGTCAGTTTAAACTTTCTAAGAATTTCGAGTGTTTAGCTGGCTAATTTACAGTTGCAACAGTTTAGTAGGACTCACTGTAGAATACTCTAATTGCTTGGGATTGGAGGCATATTTATTGTAATAACGAGGATTGTTCACAGGTAGCCTCTGTTGTTATAGCTGATGTGCCATATACTGGTTTTCTAAAAGGGTATAAAACAATGAAGTTGGTAAAAACTGTTAGTTTAAAGTGCGAAAAACCCCATGTTATTTGTCTTAGAACTGATAGAAAGACAGTGTCATTCGTGTAAACAACAAATAGACACAAAAACATTTGTATAAGGAAAACGTTCGTATGCATTTCTGTAGGCACTTCTCAGCTTATGCTCATGTACCACTTATTTCAGCAACACTCAAAAAATTGCTAACAGTTGAAATGAATTGTAAACTTCATTATGTTCCACTAGAGTGATATCCAGACTTCTTTTTGCAATCTGAAGCTGCTTTTGCAATGCTTAGATAATAATTAAATGTCAGCAGAAATACTACTACGAGAATCTAGTGAGAAAGACAACAGTGGGATGAAAACAACAAATCCTTACCACAATTAGAAATTAACAACAGAGACGAGGTAGTGAGTAGAATTCATTCCTTTTGCAGTTAAAGGTTATCCGTGCATTCTGATTGATAGGTCAAGTCTTAGATATCTAGGCTGAAAGAATAGAAAATTACTGATGCATAGAGCCAAATTATGCTTCCATTGACTCTTAAAACTTTCGTATGCAAATTACTTAGAAATTACACCTTTCTATGAACTGTTAACAGTTGATTCAGTAAAAATGGCGTTTTTCCTTTCTCCTTGGATGTTACATATACTATTTTGAAAGCTTAAGGACGGTTAGAAGACTAAATGTAGCTTCGCTTGAGTTTTTTTATCGATATTTGTGCTTGTAGGTGACATTTCACCGAGTAAATAACATCTGCATGGCAGCAGTGAAGTACAAATATTCCTCATCATCTCAGAATCCTGCGAGCCTCAAACCCTTATAATTATTACTAGTTTTATCACTCTTCATCACAAAACAATTTACTTTTTCACAGGCAGTAGCCAGTATTTTCTTTTCTAGTTACGAATCTTTGCCTAGTGAAACAAGGAGGCTGTAAGAATCAGTAGTTGCCTAGGCTTCAATGAAATGTATCTAATGTTTGAATTACGCTTATAAATTTAATTTCCCATAAGCATAAACGTTAATATAAAATTTACATTATTCTTGTTTTCTAACTGGCTAAAATCAATATTAGGGTTAGAATTTAACCTTTCTAAACAGACTAAGTATTGGTATTATATGAATAGTAAAGTAATGGAAACGAAAATGGTCACTGACATAAAATTAATGTGTCAACAACATTTATCGCAGCATACCAGATAGAATACACTCTCGTTTCTAAATCCGCATAGGTAACATTGAATTACTCTTTCTCTTAATTCTCAATCATCTAAAAATACCTGTTCCACTCAGTGAAGTAGCTCCTGCATGACATGTAATCAGAGTACTGGTGAAAGTTTCCGCTTTCTGATGGAATCCTTTTATTTATCAGAGGCCCTCCTTCTGATTTGGTAGCCTCTCCGAAATTGTTGAATACCGATATCACTTTCTAGATTTCAGTATTATTTGCTTCGTCATCACCAACTTATCACTCTTAAACTGACTTGTTGGGAATACTTTTATTTTGTTACGGTATGAAGAAATGAGAGGCTCGTCATTTTTTAAAATGTAAATACCGTGATTATGAACTTCAGATGCGTCATCTTTTGTTGATGCAGAAATGGCTACACACTAAGCTTAATTCCAGTTTTCGGAGTTCTAGAAACTTTTCCGAGGGGTCCTGATTGATGTTGTATGACGCATGATGCTAATTCTTTTTAATTGCTTACCATAACGTTTCCTTTTTTCTGTAGGACAGATCAACTATATTTGGCATTTGTTATGTGAAAATTTGTAAGATGTACTTAGTTGCCGACTTTTAAGTGCGAGAAGAACCCTTTGTGTTTTTTTGAATCATTGTAGGAGACATTCCAGTTCTACCATTCAACCCAGTATGAGCAAAATTATGTACTTATGAATAGCTTTGTTTACTGACAAAATTTAAATACCATATGTAAATTTTTGAATAAATCATCCAGTATAAATGAATTTTGAGCACTAGGGAATTATCCAAGTATTCTTTCTCCCACTAATTTTTCTTCATATTACTTTTCATTTTCAGCTCCGAATAGCTACATCATTAATGATGGAATAAAAGAATTTCATACTCGTTATTTCAGTGACACACAAATAAACAAAGGTGTAGGATTTGGATCAACTGCCAAACGCATGAACTATAACCTCTTCTCTAATAGAAAAGCGAGTGAAAGAGATGGTGATATTCCAGGTCCTGGGCAATATAATCCGCAGAGATATGATGATAAATGTACACTTAAGGCTATTGGTATTCCAAAGGCTAAAAGAGAAATTTCTATTGTAAAGTCAGTAAGGAAATTTATAAATGCATATTCTTTTCATCTGCTGTTGATAAATTATTATTTTCAGTGGCTCATTTACAATGATTTTTCAAGTTCTAAGTTGTGCTAAAATATTAATTGATGAGAGTGACTGAAGATTAGGAAGTAAATCTTGCTAAATCAAAACTTTTGTTTCATTGCATCAAATAGATGAAGCTGTTTGACTTTACTTTCGTTTAGTCAATAAAAAAAGGTTATACTTATGTTACGGAGGTTTTAATTGTAGTGAATGGGTACTATTTACTTTTATTAGGTTAGAACGAAGTTAAATTTCACATTACGACCAGATAACTTACCTTATAAAGAGGAAGCTGAAAGGCTTATTTTTTCAACTTCTAAGTAAGTTACGCAGTAGATTAAACCATACGAAATACCCCGAGGTTTCGCTCAGATAACCTGCTTACCTTTACTTCTTACCTTTTCTGACCCGAAAAACCAACCTCTTAATCTTATTTGTGCAAATTTATTTTCATAGAGTATTCATCTTTACATTAACTCCGGTAATATATTTGACAAATCACATTTGAAAGAGTAGATAACCTAGTTGATAAGTTCAGTTTCATAGTATAATTTTTAAAAAAGGAATGTAGCAAGCGATGATGCCGTGTTAGATTTTTAAGCTACCATATAAGTAGAATAGATCTGTTTCTATAAATTGCAACAGTTCATCGCTTTATGTCGATAATCCATTTTGATTACCAAAAGTCTTAGTTTCCTATTTCATATCAACTCTCTTACTTTCAGTCGGCACCTCCACCTGGAACGTATGAATTCGGAAAGTCTTTTGATGTTACACAGTGTAAGCGTGCTCCTGCAGTGCCTCGTACTGTAGAAGGTAGACAAAGGAGAACATGTTTCTCTAATACTGCAGAAAGATTTGGTAAATTTTCTGCTTTAGGTCCAAAAGATCTAGATATACCAGGTAAGCAGTTATTTGTTTCAATATATTTTCTATTTTCTGAGTGGTAAGTATGCTTAGAATTGTTTTACGCACCTTTTTTCCTGATGATAGAAATACTAAGACAGGATTTAGGCGTGATTTTGTAGTACACACTTGTATGAAGTAATGCTGTTTGTGGAAGACTTATTCAAAGATTTTGATGTTACATGTTATGTACTAATGAGGATTATGTTCAAGTCCTTATATCCGATACTTCAGATTATCAGGTATAACTGTAGGTAAAATGCTTAATTTGGTTCTGTCTATTGTTAACGTGCTCAACCACAAGAAAGGGTAAACGAAACCAGATTCATAAAGGGATTTATAGTCTTATATTACTCAATTTTAAGTAAACTAAGCTAAAACTAGTTCATAAAAATTATAGTTTTGTATCAATCGAAGCTTCACAGAGCAATTAATTGGAGGTTATTGAGCTCAAGTTACTCTAAAGATAATTAATGATTGAGACTTAAGCACTCGGTATTTCTGCTGGAATAGAACTTTAAGCTGATTAGGATCTAAATGTTATCTAGGCTTGTGAGTAACGAAACAAGAGGAAAGTGAACACACACATAAGCTAGGTTTTCGTGCATTTCAATGTCCATGATCGTTATAACTCCATATGAGAGCAATATAACAACTGTCAAGACAAAATTAGACAAGTTTTAATTGAGAAATCGGGACAAAAGTATTTTAGTTATAAGATCGTTCTTATCAAAGAATATTCTTAAACCTTTTCAGATGGAGCATTCATCAAGTTCCATTATGTTAACGTTTCTCCCATATTTCTGAATGATTACAAATAAAGAGTTTGTTTTCACTGATGTTTGGCTGTATGATTTAAAAGTAGCATTAACAGAGCAACAGTTAATCAGGTGTTACTTTAGACCACAACTGCAATAAAATGTTCAGCCACTTCTTAGAGTTGATACTGCTTGATACTTCTTTTTCCATTTCGAATCTCAACACTACCCTAACTTTAAATCGATTTAAATTTCATGCAAATGCAAGAAATCCTTTAAAATAAACAATAGATTATTTTTTCTACAACTGTAATCCTTAAAGTAACCACTTTTTTATGTAAACGTCTGCATACTGGTAGTTTTTTGTTTGAAGTCCTATGAAATCGTTTATTCGCCTATTAATCTGGGGTTTGAACTCATGATGAGTGAAGTATCGGTTTTTTGACGTCATTAAAAGTTGTGAATCATTAGTTCTGTCAGAATTCTCAAAAGTTTTCAGTATCTTATTTTCCAAACAAAAGTATTTTATAAGCTCATTGCTCTGGATTACAGAAGAGAATATTTTCGTTGTTTATTTATGATCTAAGAGGCATAAATATAACCTTTATTCTTACACCATGTATTTGTATTTGCATTCCTAGTTGATCGGTTAGATACAGAAAACTTAATTAGCAATGCTTTGAAAAAATTAACTTATCATTTGAAGCCATTCATTGAGTATTTCCTTTCTCACAGTCTAACCAAAATTCTATTTCAGGTCAAGGGTCATATTTGGGGTTAAAACAGTGATTGCTTGCATTGTAAGGTGTTTCCTTGGGCTTCAACCATCTGGAAATGAAAGGTGATCGGGTTATCTTCATTCTTTTATTTTTAGGTTTCCTCTAGATCGAGTTTTTCTAGATGGAGTTTCCTACATAATTTTGGTGCTGCTTCATTTAAATTGTTTTTTATTGTAAAAACATTCATATTCAGCAGTCAAAAATGAGCTTGAATAATAGTTATTTCACAATTATCACAGAGTACATACAACTTTTATAGATGAAGAGAGGTTTTATCAACATATTAGGGTTTCTGTTGTTAAGAACATTTTGTATGAATAACAAAGATAATTTCGAAGGTGATAATTAAATTTACTCGTGGCAACTAATGAAAATGTAACCTCCTGTTGTTTAAAGAGAAACTTATGTTCCGCGTGGAGTTCGAAAACGTTTTAGAAGATGACTGCTGATGAACGTGACGGTATTACTAATTAGGTATAAATTAATAACCCTATTGATTTCTAACAACAGTATTTTCTAATCTTTTTTAACAGGACCGGGAGAATATTGCATAGTGCAAAGTAGATCACAGAAGGGCAGGTTTATATCTCAGTCAGAAAGATTCAAGGAAATTGAGAGAGAACAATTCCCTGGTCCAGCAGATTATGAGGTAAATTCCAGTTCCAATTTTCCATCAGTGATTTGAACAACTCCATGCCATAACTTAACGATTTTAAAAAATGTCAACCAACTTTTATAAAAACACTTCAGTGATATAATTGCACACATCACTGTTTCTAATATTGAATTGTTGTGAATTGAATTACGAAACATCTCTGAGCCTTACCATAAAATCTTCATCATAAGAAGTATTCATAGGGGGCGGGTAAGTAAGATCAAAACAAAATTGCAGGTTGTGCTGCCTTTTTTGATGCGGGAACTATTTAACTTGATCTGTTTTAATCAACAGTTTAACTGATGTGAAAGTTTGTTCTGAGTACTGAATAATACGGGTGTGTTGAGGAAAATTATCAGCGAGAAAGTTCGCATGCACTGAAAAAGAAAAGTAAGAACGGAAAAGTATTTGTTAGTCGTAAATATCTGAAGTTTAAGTGATGATAACTGTTATGCAGTATACTATTATCCAAGATGATTTCATCAGTTTTATTGCAGCTACTGTTCAAAACTCCCTACAGCATTACCCAATAAAAGTGACTACTTTTTATATATTTTCATAGTGACGATAATTTACGGATGTTTCTTTTGGACTGGAAAGTCATGTCACCATACTTACCGTTTTTATTAGTCTACCCCATTCAATGATGTTTTATATCAACAAATGGTCTAATTGGTAGAGCCAAATAGCATCATTTTACCAGAAAAAGTAACCAAGACGGCAACTGCAACTTGCAATTAACAAGGAAGGCAAAAGCAAGTTTAAACATCGGATTTCATCAGAGTATATCAGTATAAAGTTGTATAATATCCAATGCAATACCGTACAACTCAAATGGATGAATTCGTTTTTTTTATATCATCGCCAAATGATGTTTTTCATAATTTGAATAGTGCTTTAGATTACTAATTCCAACACTGTTGACTGAACAAATTCAGGTTGAAGTTAAACACAGTATGATAAATCCTATTCAGTAAAAATAATTATTCCAAATTTTGCAGACTGAGAACAAACTTTCACTTTCGAGGTTTGTGGGAATTCAGGGTGGTATTCGTCACGAGGTGGCATCAGTTGGAGAACCATTGATAACTTGGGAGCATTAAACAGCTACTTCTTCCTAGTATAAGACTCATGAAACACTGTATAGTGCTTATAAGTAACAGGGTTCGAGATAGGATATCTCGAAGTTCCAGTGAGAAGTCATGAGTTTTGGGGTAAACCAAGCCAGAATTGAGGACAGCCACTCAGTGGTGATATTAGATGAAGATCAAATTAAATCGCGAGTTGACAGAAGTAGAAAAATGTGGCCCATCGGACCCTAGCCCAATAGCTCAGTGGTGAGGTGCCCGTTGCTAAACCTGGAGGCCCTTGGTTCGATTTTTGACAGAGTTATGGTGCGCACTGCTGAATGGTTCCATACTAGGACGATACAGTATCCAGTGCTTGAAGGTTTTAAACGGTTTTACAACTGAACTTAGCCGACGATACATATCACCACAAGGATAGACTTATTTTCTTCATTTAAAGGCAAAATCTCATCAATTTTAATATAATTTCACCTTTGATCTTTCTTCAGTATTATACTTAGGGGTCAGTCTCTAAGATGAATCACTGAAGAAACGAAATATGAACCAAGATAGAGTACGAAAATTTCAGAGATTTGGTGAATTTCACTTCATTTCATAAGAAACACCTGTTTATGTACACTAAAGTTACATGATGTAATGTTGTTTTGATCAAAGATTAGGAGATAATTAGGTCACGTATCTGGGTCTATGATTGCTATGAGTAAGGGAACACTTAATATCAGGGTTATTGTTTCATAAGATAGGCAGAATATCATTATGAGTTTTCGGTTAATAGCCTCTAAGAAGATGAATAAATTTTCAATTTTACCTGGTTATATGAATTATATTACTTTAGTGGTAGTCCATCAGTCAATTTGATAAATGTGGTTTGTATTTACATTCCGATGAAAAATGTCAAACAGAAACTGCTGTTTATACTACATGAAGCTTTTTTAATCCTAATTTGTAAATTTTACTTATGTCAAGAGCTTAACTTTTGATCTTGTTTTCGCACAAACTATAGGACCTATTTATTCGTTGTGAAGTTTTTTGTTTTATGTCCTTATCGAAGTCGTTTGTGCATTACTTTGTATAGAAAATTTAATATCGATGAGAAGATTTCATTTTAATTAGTTAAAACAAGTTTGTTTTACAGAAAGTTAATTCCAGAAGATAGTAGAATCATAACGTTGATTATTATTTTACAGCCGCCATAATAACGGTATTTTATTTTTCTTAAATTATTTGGAAATTTTGATGGGAAATAGAAACGAACGCGTCCAGACTTATGACAGTAAATAGTAGAGTAAAAACAGCAATATTAACCATTCAATAAGAGTCGGATGAATATTGAAGCAATGACAGAAACTAAACGTAGATCGTGATAATGGCGAAAGAAGATGTGGGATGTGTCTCTTTTGTATCTATAGCCCGGAAGAATTATTTAATTACGTTTTACAGATGCATTGTCAATCCAGCAGTCAGTCAGCATCAACATGGGAAATCGTATTACTGTACTGTCCAGACAATCAGGGCGACTTTAAAGGCCATCTTAATAACTTCTGAGATAACCAATCATGCTTCTTTATTTTAGAAATAATTGACTTCCCAGATGAAATATCGAAAGCTGGTTGGCTACTTCAACAGTTGCTAGCGTGGCCTTTAAAGAGGATCGACAATTAGGAAGTATGCATTGAATCAACCGCCTACATGCTTCATCTTTTGAAAGATAAACCTCGTATATATTCACAAAAGATATAACATTCTTTTCTTGATTAAAAAATGATTATAACACTTGGAGGGGGGGGGGACTGAAACCATACATTCAACAATAAATCGAGACGCTACCAATTCCTTTTCGTGAAACTGAATCATGATATTCGCTATTCATCTTTATCATAAATAATAATGTATTCTGTAGTCACATTATTAAATCTTCGCAAAGTTAAAAGAATAGTGAACATAGAAGTATTGTGGTATTCTTATTCATCCACCAACATGCTTTCAGGTTGTTATTCTGGAGCTTTTTTTCCATTCAGGCAAAATACACATGTTTCGCAATTTTGTATTGGGATGGTTTATGAATTTTTCTATAAGTTGAATTAAAAATGAATGATTTTGTAACATGTTTATTCAGTCTGTTTTCTACATATATGATAATGACTTAGGATTATGAGCAGGCTGATTCCTTTCAGAACTCATGCGTTAAAGCCTCATAAATTAATAAAAACTAAATTATGCTGGAATGAATATTCGCATGGTTAACTGATCACCGAAATAGATTTTTGTGTTAAGTCTGATCCTGTGGGACTAGAAACTTTGTACTAACCAGGAATGTTTTTTAAGTTTATAAATAAAATGACTAAACCTCTTTGGATATACAGCCATGAAATATTTAGAAATTCTCAGGATGAGTAGTCATAAATATTTGAAGTTAATAGACTGCAAGACTTCACCAAAGACAATGGCTTTTCATACTAGTATCTTGTATAGCACGTTTCAACTTTAGTCAAGTTGTGATAACAATGCTTCTGCTAAGACTGTATTCACATTCCAACTTTTTATTCACTGCCTTCATCCTCCGGTATTTCGCAACTGTGTTGGCATTTAGAGGCTCAAAACTGTTTTTTTTGTCTGTCTGGACACCTGTTTACATTGTCAGGCCATTCTCAACATTCTTATTTTCCTTCATATAATTGATTTCAGCGTTCTAAAGTAGATCCTTATTGTTGCTGACATACGAATTACCTTGATTAATTCATATTTTACATACATGTTAAAAACTATGTATTAGAGTGAAACCTGAGGAAATCTAATCGAGAATAGTATTCCTCGCTGACATGTTTTGTTATAATATAGAAAGAGGTTTTTACTTCATATGGGTGCTTTCGTTTTCGTAAAATAAAACATAAAACCAACTTTCACAACTGAAAATAATCCACTGTCTGTCTGCCTCAGTGAAAGTTAGCTAAGTCTTAGCACCTTCATAAATATATATGCACTATTTACACACCAAGGAGATGTAGGAAATACTAGAATACTTTCATTTTAAATAAATTCGTTTGATCTAGCACAGTGTGAAACAGTATTATTTACCGAATAACGTTTCTACTAAAAATGGATTCACATAAACCTACCAAGGTAATGCCACGACTTTCAGAAACTGGTATTTACAACTTTCAATTGTAATCCTTTGATTTTAATAACAACAAAATCTTCCATATGAACAGATTAGGTGTTGATTCATTTCTGGTGTTGAATCGATGGATGAAATTTAGTAATATGTTGCTTACCGCATGTAACTTAATCGGTCTTTATGATTACTGCTATACGCACCTCACTTCGTGTTCGTGTGTGACTGTATGTATTGTAATTACTCGATTTTTCCGAAGAAACTTATTGGTATGTATCACTCTGAGCATAATTGTGATCCCACAATCATTACAGGGTACTCTGTAGATCAAATTATTTCGCTTCATTGGGTCAGCAAGATCCTTACAACGACGAAGTTTCCCTGTGCTCGATTTTTTAGGCTTGAGTACTATTTTTATTTCCTCCTTGTTAGCAATTCTACATAGAAATTCTGTAGACCCCTCTTTGTATGGCACCATTAAGGAGGCCTTGAATTTCGCATTAACTCTGTTGCAATCATTATTTCAATGAATACCATTTCTCTTTTTATCTTAATAGGATACACTTCCGAATAAGTTTTAGAAGATAGTTGTTGGTCGGAAGTGCTTCACTTGTATGTTTTATTTCTTTATTAGTAGCCTTCGATGAACTAGTGACTTTGTGGTTATATCAATTAGACATTCAACTAAACCTACTTTAAATGATATTATAAACTGTCACTTGGAATCTAGATATCTCTTACTGTGTAGGTTCGCTGCAAGTGGTATTGTCTAAGGCACCATCTATTCTTTCGTTTACTTTTCAATCTAACATGGTTAATTCTCTTTCTTCATTTTGTACCTCATAAGTGAACTTCACCGTACTTACTACTGAGTTTATGGGTGTGAAGAAAATATCGATTTGTTCCAACTTTAACACAGTTTATGTATCATTCACATATCTCCACCATATCTAAGGAGCGGAATTAAACGTTCCTGAAGTCATGTATTTCTCACTATTAAAAAATGTGTTGCCTATGACTGGAGATATTAGTGACCCTATTGCTACTCAAGCCTTTCGATATATTTCCATGTGAAAATAAAAACGGTATAGGTTGGGCATAAATAAACCTTTAATATGCTTTTCTCAAGTGGTGCTCTTTGTCTGTCAGTAAGTTAGGAACCACTGTTAGGCTCATTTCTAATAACTTTTAGAGGCACTCCATCGGTATATTAGTAAACCGGCTTATTACACCAAGGTTAATTAATATTTTCATTCTTTTCTATAACCATATCATCACCAACTCATAAGCATTGGTTATTTTGTAGTCTAACAACATCTAGAAGTTTAAACTGACAGGTTCTCGGTTTTAACTTCACTGGGAAGACAGTCCTTCTCTGGTCCTCGAGGTCCTGCCATACCAAAAAGGTCTGCTGGGTAGTGGTAAGGTCAAAAATAGTTACCGTTGTAGTGTAAATTACTACACTACTGTACTGGTCTGAGGGTGAGGTCATATTGCTGCCGGCTGGCTGAGGTGTGACAGCAGTAAAGTGTCTTCCTTGGATGACCAGCACAGCCACGCTGAGGCTGTTTTTCCTGTGGGAACGGGAGATTAGAAAATGTCTGTCACAAAAATAACACACTCCACTATTATCCACAGTCTTCTTGTGCTAGCGGTATGGGTTT